CTAATAATATATATTTTTAAAAAACAATTTTCTGGAGATCACTTATTTTGTGTATTATCCATTGATATTATATGAGAGAAGGAAAATAACCTTCTATTTTCAAATAAATTTCAGTAATTCTTAAACAGGGATAAATAGTTTTTTTATTGCAAGATTTCTCAGAGCATTTACCATGCATCTTAAAGCTGTAAGAGACGAAAATCCTGATAATGGTTTCAAGTCAAAGGAAACTTTTTCTAATGTAGCATTTGGCAGGACCATGTACTGAAGAACACAGCTTATTAATGATAAATTAGTTAAATCTGAAAAGAATGTTCTTACTTCCAACAAGTTCTGGTTTAGAGAGTAAATGAAAAGTAACACATTTTGATCTAAATCTAATGTATTCTGTCAGACGACATTCTCAAATTAAACCAGAAACTTCCCCTAGTATGTACTTATTACCCTATCAATGAAATTATCTGATTTCTAGAGCTAATTTCCTTGAAAGGACATTGAAATGAAATTTTTCTTAGCATTATCTGAAGCTAATTGGTATCAATCATGCCTACAAGTAAGGTGAGAGTTTCCTATAAAACAACCTGCCAGACATTAAGTAGAAATAATGAGCTCTAGTTTGGTAATTTGTTTCCCTCAATGCTCAAGCAGTAGGTCTGAAACTTAGTTCGCGTTAGAATCTTCTGGGTGGCTTAAAACAACAGAAATGTAGTCTCTCACCATTCTGAAATCCAGAAGTCTGAAAATAAGATGTTGGTGGAGATTCTGGGAGAGAACCTATTCTATGCCTCTCTCCTAACTTCTGGTGACTCTCCTTAATTTCCGTTATTCCTTGACTTGAAGACACAGCAGTTTAATTTCTGCCTTTGTCTTCTCATGGCTTCTCTTTCTGTGTCTCTTTGCATCTTCTTTTGTGTCTCTTTTAAGGATACCCACCATTGAGTTTAGGGCCCACCCTAATCCCAGATGGTCTCATCTCAAGATCCTTAGCTTAATTATATCTGCAAAACTCTTAAAAAAAAAAAAAAATCAGGTCACCTTCACAGATGCCAAGGTTTAGGACTTAAACATATATTTTGAAGGACAAAATTCAACCCACTCCAGCTAAGACAATAAAACACATAAAGGTGATTTGCTTTCCTGTCTTTGCTTTCCTTATGTGCAACCTTAATGAAAGCAATTTATGTCTCTCTTCTTTCACATGCAAAATACAGAATAGGGTTCCTTTTTATTTTTCATTTCACGTGAAGTGCTATATTAGTTAATGAAAAAATCCAGGCTCCTTGTAAACTAACATTTGTAGCACTGAAACAGAACACTTTTTCATATATTAATTATACTAACCATCATAGCAACTCTAGGAGGCAAGTGTAAAATGATATTTCCATTTTATAAATGAATAAACTAAGATACAGTCCCTTAAAGCCACAAGTAGCTAGTAATTGAATTTAGAGTAAAGTCACCTATCTCTAATTATCTAGTACTTTTTACTTGAAGATTCATGCCTTTCCTCTTTTACTTGGATACATCGGCATGTATAAACCTGGAATGCTAGGCCTTTGTTTTCTTGATTTCATTACAACAACAACAAAAAAATCAGCCTTTCTAGGAACTAAGGATTATCTCTGCTAAACTGATGAATGCCAGACTTGCTGACTTGCTTTGAGTAAAAACAAAGCTGGCACTCAAGGAAAAAAGACACGTGAGAAGAAATTTAAAAAGAGGACAGATGAAAGGATGGAAGGTAGGGAGAAGAGAAAGAAAGAGAAGGGAAGGGAAATTCAACTTAGCTTTAAATTATACATTTTTTTTATTTCTCTTCATCTTATCCAACTTAAGAAATAGCATTGCCTCCTTAACTCAACTTTATGTTCTTTTGGATCTAGAAAGCTGTGTCTCTTCACCTTGTTTCCTCTGCAGAAGCTAGTGCATTGCACTCTATATAGTAAAGTTTACTATGTTGAAATTAATTGAATCATTTGCTCAGACTTATAAAAATATTTACCTGCAAGACAAAGTTTTCTGAATCTTTCTCTAGGGTTTGGAATTTCTCTTTGGTTTAGAAAAACCATCATTCTCTAAATCCGTCATCTGACTATATATCTGAGATGTATACCTTTGAGAGATGATCAGAAAGGCTACTACAAAGTAAACTGTCTAATTACACATATCACATTTACTAAGACATCGCTATGAATAACCTGTTTGCCCATACGCAAGTGCATGGATATAACCAGGTGCAAATTGTAAAATATCTCTTTAGAGTCTCCAGTGACTCCATTCATTTTTTGTGTAGTGGTAGCTCCACCTCATTATTGAAAACACAAAGAATATTTTACTGTGAATACAACTCGTATATCCAAACAAAAAATAAGCTGAAATTACCCTTTATATTTTGACAGAAAATCATTTATACTAATGTACTCTTTTACCTATAGATTTGTGCTTTAAAAATCTTTAATTTGTAATAGAGAACTGAAAAACTTTGCCTCATATTAAGAGAATTTCTGGCATTCAAGAATCAGGTAGAAGAGATATTTAGAGTGAAGGCAGCCTTTTCTTGTCTCGAACTCATGTTAAATATCTGGCTGAGTCAATTTCAACATCATCTTTGAGGGTCCCAAAATTAGCCTTCAGTCAGAAAGAACAGTGGTATTACCAGCTGTTTCACTTACTTTCCCACTTGTTAATCTATTTTTTCCTTTATTTCTCCATTCTGTCCTATCTTGCTTTCTTTTCCATCCTTATATTCCTTTCCTCATTCCCCCTTTGGACAATCATTTAACATATCCTTTGTCTTTTCATGCTCTTAAATCCTGATGATTAAATGCCAGAAAGCAGACATCTTTCTAAAACTCAGTGCCCTCTCTTCATCTTACACTACCACCCATGACTTACATATATACACCCCACCCCCAGAAACCAGAGGGTTGGAAACACACTTAACATTCATCAGAAGACACTGGGTCATCAGGAACACTTTAGGAGTAGAATTAGAATTGGGTCCCTTATACACACATCCCTTTAAAAATATGCTAATTCAGATATACACACCCCTTTAAAATATGCTAATTCATTCTTTCATAATCCACCTAAATTATTGTAGTCAAATTGATAAGTGTGGATTGTCTATTACGATTTAGAGGACTCTGGTGTGGCAGGATGTCCAATGGCAATTAGAAGACTTCCAGAAAGTCAGGTTAAATCTCTTTAGTTTCTTATTGCTGAACAAGCCTATTAACTTTCCTCAACAGCCCTCTGCTTAACTAATTCTAAGTAGTTCATAATATATTAGATAAATTGTTATGGGGAATTAAATAAAATGTATGAAGGCACACTATAAACTGTACAAAAGCTAAACAAATATAAACTATTGTTTTAATTATACTTTTCAACAAAAGATTTTCCTTCAAGTTCATTCAAGTCCCCAATCAAGTTCTGAAAATATCAATTAGAACAAAATACACAGTCTCAAATGGAATGATAAAATGTCAAGATACTGAAGGTTCACTGGATATCCTCTATGTATATCCTGAGGGCCCTCATCTGAAAATGAAGAGCTAGTTGGCTTAGTGATCTATTTAAAGTAGAGGGAGAGGAAGAAGGAAATGGAGATCTACTTATATATTCAGAGACACACACACACACAGAGAGGGGGAGAGAGAGAGAGTGTGTGTGTGCGCGCGCGCACGCATCTTGGCTTTACTTACTAAATCTCTATCAAAAAGAAGAAGGGGGGGCGGAGAAGGAAGAGGAGAAAGAAGACTATAAAACACAATATTCCGGCGTCTGGTACTATTGACTAAACACCCTGAGGATTTCGTATAAAAGGGACCCAATTCTAATGCTATTTCTACAGTGTTCGTGATGACCCAGTGTCTTCTGATGAATGTTAAGTGTTAAGTTACTTGGTTTTCTTCTCCTAAACAAAGAGGCCAGATACATTGCCAGTGCTTTGCTTTCTTTAATGCCACAATTGTGCAGGGATTCACTCAGCAAGCTAGAGGAATAACATGTGGGTGTTGAATAAAAGAGGCAGCAGGTTCCAAATGCAGCCTCCAAAAGACAAGGCTGTCTCCACACTCTGTATGGCATGGAATAAAACTGTGTTTTGCCCAAAATTTAAAAGCCTGACCTGCGGGTCCTCAGAGGAGAAAAAGACTTCCTACAAAGGTGACATCTGGATTCTCTCCTTGCTTCTGCTGCTACTGCTGTTTTTACCACCATTTTCTATATTCCCATTTCTTTGCTGCAACTATCAAATTTTAAGTTTGAAAATATTTTATTCTGCCCTCTTGCATGAAATAGTTGGAGGAGGGAAAAGTTATAATTTCTCAAACGGATATAGTCATTTTATTGTAAAAGGGTTTAAAGGCCCCACCATTTCTTCCAGAAATTTTAATAAGCATATAGGAATAGCCAGCTGGCTAATCCTAGGAATATCCCTCCTCCCTGTTCATTTTATAGAAAGATCCTGTGGTCAGGAAATATAAAGCTTTCAACACATTGACCACAGCTAGGATTATAGCCTCATATGGTAGAGATTTTTCCCACTGTCTTTTTCTGGGTGTTGTCAATATCCAGCCGTCCTCACGGGTATTGAAGTCACCTTCACCCTTCTCACCGGGGAGAATTTCAAGATTGACTGCACTAATGAGGGAGTCTGGAATTGAGACATTATGTGTAAATCCATCACTGTGATTAAACTTAGCACGCACACTGTGTGTGCTTGGTAGTTTCAAAGAGCCTGGCTATTAAATGGCTTCATATTTTTATACCTTTTGGCACCCTCATAAAAGGACTTAAGGAAACAGAATTTTTCCTCCACAGCTACAGACAGACTAAGACAAATCTATGCTAAGAAGCTATAAAATAATTTGAAATTTCTCAGGTTCATTGATAAATCAAGTCAGTAGCTCTGCAAAGTACTGTTAAATGTATAAAAACATATATATTAATAAAGTTATACATGTATGTAAAGACAGATATATGGGGCAACACCTATTAAATTGCAAATAAAGTAAAACCTCATTAATTCAGACTCACCTTAAATCGGAATTTCTGATCTACTGAAAGTCTGGCTAAGCAGAAGTTTTCCGTTACCATATCAACAGACAAAAGACTTGCTGAACAAATCTGTAGTGTAAATAAAGTTTATAGGGAGCATATGTAGACTGTTTAAGAGAATACACTGTTGTTAGCATCCTCAAGTACTTGAGGAACACCCATTTACACAAAGATAATTGAGAGTATAATTACAAAACATTCTTAAGTATTAACCAAAGTAGGCACTCTAAGAACCTCTAAAAGAAATCTTTAATTATTGCAGGTCCACTTCTTTTATATACTTGAAAGAGGTAAATCTTCATCCTTTTAAAAATATTCGATAGTTCAAATTTTGCACAAATATGAGAAGCACATCTTTCTCTAGCTAATGCAAACTAATGAGCTGTTAAAACATATATTATGCTATAACACATTAATGTACTAGATTTTTTGTTTTTGCTTTTCAAGTACTTTAGCAAAACTTGGTATTGGCATATTTATATGATGCCTATGGATGCATACTTACATTTATGGCAGCATGGGATGACAGAAAGAGCATTGAACTTATCAGCTCTGCCACTATCTTGCAAGGTGAGCTTGAGTGTCAACTTGAGCCTAAGTTTCCTCACTGTAAAATCAAGAGAAGTGCTTTGGTAACCATCCTACATCTCAGACTTGATGCAAGGATCAAATCAGATGATGTTATTTAAACTAATGAAAGTACTTCATAAAGTGAAAGGCAAATATGTTCTAATTATTTTCTCTGCATAATGGATACTTATCTTTGATTTAGAAGGAAATGAAGATGACATATACCATATTGAAATAACCAGATATATATTTTATGTTCATTATTACCCAAAAAGTGTACTGTGTCCTACTTGGGGTAAAACTGAAATTGAAGCAATCTACAAACATCTATTCATTCTATTTACCATTTAGAGTGCAGGAGTAGGCACTGAAACCATACGATTTTTTAGTAATTTGTAGAAATCTTCTAGATTTTAAAAATCTTTGTGATTTAATGTGTCAAGTAAGTGGAGTTTAAATGAAAATTTCACAAACATACAAGTTTTAGAAAACACAGAATGGGTCAGTCCTAAGGGCAGATAAAACAGTATGTCCCAATCAAGACCTCTGTAGCTTGGTTCATCTGCCCTCTTGTAGCCAAGACCTAGCACAGTGGCTAGCAAACAGAAAGCACTTAATAATTATTTGTTCTACTGTGATGTTTCTTGGTGAGCTATTAGCGAACCCTAGATAGATTTGCAAATGCAAGGACAATATAATTGCCCTCAAGGAAAAAATACTGTAAATTTCATAAGGTAAAGGACTAGGTCTGTCTTATTTTCTGATGTAGCCCCAGATTGTAGAACTTGGTGATTGTTCAGTAGAATGTGTTGGGGATTTTTAAAAAGAAGAACTCAATTAGGCCGGGCGCAGTGACTCATGCCTGTAATCTCAGCACTTTGGGAGGCTGAGGCGGGTGGATTACCTGAGGTCAGGAGTTCGAGACCAGCCTGGATAACATGGCAAAACCCCCATCTCTACTGAAAATACAAAAATTAGCTGGGCATGGTGGCACATGCCTGTAATCCCAGCCTCTAGTGGGGCTGAGGCAGGAGGATTGCTTGAACCTGGGAGGTAGAGATTGCAGTGAACCGAGATCGTGCCACTGCACTCCAGCCTGGACAACAGAGTGCGACTCCATCAGAAGAAGGAGAAGGAGAAGGGGGAGAGGAGGAGGAGGAGGAAGAGGAGGAGGAGGAAAAGGGGGAGGAGGAGGAGGAGAAGGAGGAGGAGAAGAAGAAGAAGAGGAGGAGGAGGAAGGAGGAGGAGGAGGAGGAGGAGAAGGAGGAGGAGGAGGAGGAAGGAGGAGGAGGAGGAGGAGGAGGAAGGAGGAGGAGGAGGAGGAGGAGGAGGAGGAGGAGGAGAAGAACTCAATGAGCAAGCAACTCCTAGAGGTTATGTCTTATGTAAGTTGACTAAGACGTGGTCTTCATACTCAGTTTATCATATGAAGCGACCAGGGAGACAGAATTTTAAAGAACTATGGGACAACAGAGTAAGTGTCCAGTTATGAAATAAAGTGCTCTGGGAACATACGGCACTGTTTTGCTATGCTGGTTGCACATTAGAATCATCTAGGGATTTTTTGAAGCAATATCAGTGTCCCAGATCAAATAAAGCAGAGGATGGGGCTTGGGGCACTAGTATTTATTTTTTAATTAGGTGATTCTAATGTGCAGCCAGCAATAGAATAGTTGATAGAGAAGTTAAAAAGGAGGAATTATAACAGGTAGAGGAGTTAGGAAAGGACATTTTCTCAGGTGAAGTGATACTTATACTAAGCCTCTTTGTCTTTATGATTCACGAAGTCCAGAAAAAATGTCAAATTTTTCCCCTTCCGAATGTTCAACAGACCTTCTCTTCTAAACGGATTATGAAGACGAGTTCCTCTCATGCGCTGCTCTTCCCAACCCTTTGAAGTTCTAAATCCCAAAGACTTAAAGTGATACCCAAGAATCTTAAAAGTCCTAGATCACATCTCACTTTGGAAAAAGATTCAATATCTGGATCAATTCAAGATACTGAATTGATAAAAATTCAATTCAACCTAGAGCAAGGTTAGGAAAAAAAAAAAACCGAGAACAAGGACCTTGTGATTCTCAAGTGGATGAATGTTTGATATTTATCTAATTTTCTTCACTTCAAGAGTTCTTCACATGTGGGCAAACCCAAGGGTGTGGATTTAATCAGGGCTAGTAGTATGACTTGAGAAGTCAAAGCATTATCTTTATCTGTCATAAGTTTCAATCATGTTCATACTTAGTTATAATAACTTATACTAACTTTTATTTATAATAGTAGGCGAACAACTTGGTCTCCCATATTGAGAAGGGAAACAACAGGGTTCTTTATCTTATTACCCTGACTTTCCAATACCAACCAAGTTGGAAGAAAAATTTTTCCCTCTTCTTGCAAGTAATGCCAAAAATTGTGTACCAAAAGAGTATCCATTATAAAGGATCTGTTTTTAAAAATAACATACTCAGGAACAAACAGACAATCTACAGAATGGGAGAAAATATTCACAAATATATATCCAACAATGGTCCAATATTCAGAATCGATGAGGAACTTAAACAATTTAATAAGCAAAAAGCAAATAACCCCATTAAAAAGTGAACAAAGGACATGAACAGACACTTCTCAAAGAAGACATACAAGCAGCCAATGAACATATTTAAAAAATGCTCAAAACCACTAATCATCAGGGACATGCAAATCAAAACCAAAATGAGATATCATCTCATACCAGTCAGAATGGCTGTTATGAAAAAGTCAAAAAATAACAGATGTTGGTGAGGCTATGGAGAAAAGAAAACACTTATACGCTGTTGGTGAGAATTTAAATTAGTTCAACCTCTGTGGAAAGCAGTTTGGAGATTTCTCAAAGAACTACCTCTTTTACCAAGGACCCACCAACATGGGCCACGTTTTCACCAAAACCGTGAAGAAGGCTGCCTGCATCATCACACAAAAAGTACTACATGCGCCTGAGCAACGACTTCCAATCGAACAAGTGCATGTGCAAGGAGATCACCATTATCCCCAGCAAGAAGCTCCACAACAAGATAGTAGGCTATGTCACCTATCAGATGAAGCAGATTCAGAGAGGCCCAGTAAGAGGTATCTCCATCAAGCTGCAGGAGGAGGTGAGAGAAAGGAAAAACAATTATGTTCCTGAGGTCTCAGCCCTGGATCAGGGGATCATTGAAGTAGATTCTGACACTAAGGAAATGCTGAAGCTTTTGGACTTCGGCAGTCTGTCCAACCTGCAGGTCACTCAGCCTACAGTTGGGATGAATTTCAAAATGCCTTGGGGACCTGTTTAAATCTTTTCTGCAATGCTGTATTATTTTCAATAAATCTGGGACAACAACAAAAAGGAACTAAAAGTAGAACTACTATTTAGCTAAGCAATCTCATTACTGGATATATGTACCCAAAAGAAAAATAAATCATTCTATGAAAAATACACATGTCCCTGAATGTTCATTGAAGCATTAATCACAATAGCAAAGACATGGAATCAACCTAGATGCCCATCAACAGTGAATTGAATAAAGAAAATGTGGTACATATACATGGTGGAATACTATGCTGCCATAAAAAGCAACAAAATCATGTCCTTTGCAGCAACATGAATGCACCTGCAGGCCATTATTCTAACTTAATTAATACCGAAACAGAAAAACAAATATACTTCATATCCTCACAAGTGAGAGCTAAGTATTGGGTATACATTTACATAAAGATGAGAACAATAAACACTGAGGACAATAAGACGGGGGAGGGAGGGAAGGCCAGGCACAGTGGCTCCCGGCTATATGTTACTTTTGATGAGTATAAGGTGGATCACTTCAGGAGGAGACCAGCCTAGCCAACATGTGGATGCTGGCCTCTACTAAAAATACAAAAATTAGCCAGGCATGGAGGAGGGCGCCTATAATCTCTGCTACTCGGGAGGCTCAAGCAGTAGAATCCTTTGAACCCAGGAGGCAGAGGTTGCAGCGAGCCGAGATCACATCACTGCACTTCCAGCCTGGGTGACAGAGCAACACTCTGTCATAAATAAATAAATAAATAAATAAATAAATAAATAAATAAAATGGATTGGGGAGGTCAAGGTTGAAATACCACCTACTAGGAACTATGCTTACTACCTGGATGATGGGTTCAGTCATACCCGAAACCTCAGCATCTTGCAATATACCCACGTAACAAACCTGTGCACGTAACTCGTAATCTAAAATAAAAGTTGAAATTTTAAAAATAAAAAATGAAAGTAAAAAGTTATAAGTTTAAAAATACTGTACTCCAGTCCAATGGGATCAGAATTTTTTTAAGCTCTCTTCCTTCAAAACTATAGAAAGTTACGTAGAAAATAATTGACACTAATATCTAAAATAGAAACCTAAGCTCTAACATCTATTGTAGAGGAAAGAGCACTTTGAAATCAAAGTTGTATTTGCAGTTCTGTCAAGAGTTACATGCATGATGTTGGACAAGCCATTCTTTAACATCTTATGATGTTAAAAGAACGCTTTCCAAGCCAATGTTGCATCCTATTTTATATTCAACATATTAACAACAGTTTCCAAATGCATCCAAGGCAAGTGTATTAGTCTGTTCTCAAACTGCTAATAAAGACATACCCAAGACTGGGTAATTTATAAAGGAAAGAGGTATAATGAATTCAGTTCAGCATGGCTGGGGAGACCTCATAATCACGGCAATAGGCAAAGGAGAAGCAAAGGCATGTCTTACATGGCACAGGCAGGAGAGCTTGTGCAGGGGGATTCCCATTTATAAAACCATCAGATCTTGTGAGACTTATTCACTACCACCAGAACAGTATGGGGAAAACTGACCCCACGATTCAATTATCTGTACCCGGCCCTGCCCTTGACAAGTGTGGATTATTACAATTCAAGGTGAGCTTTGGGTGGGGACGCAGCCAAACCATATAAGCAAGCAAATGTCCTGAGGTAAAAAATGTTAACATCCCTCTAGTGCTTGCGGCATTGGTTTACAGATGCCAGTATTAAAAATCACTTGAAATTTGGTCTCACCACTACCACCTTTGAACAGGAGCTTTTACATGTCATTCTAAGTATTTAGTGCCCAGGCCATTCTACCTGGCCAAGTTATGAAGGTTATATATATTACATTTTTTTTTTTTGAGACAGGAGTATTACCACATTGCCCAGGCTGGTCTTGCACTCTTGGGCTCAAGCAACTCTCCTGTCTCAGCCTCCAGAGTAGCTAGGATTACAGGTGTGTGTCACCATGCCCAGCTATATATTACTTTTGATGGGTATAGGTAGCCCATGTAGACTTTGTTGGTAGTCAGAAACTTTTTCCTACACAGCTATTGTTTATCTAAATAAAAGAGCCATAGCTCCTGCACTTTGTTTTTTCTGCCTAAGTAAAGCTGTGTGTGGATAAATGTTAGTAGGTAGTAGAAGGAAACATTAAAAAGGTACTGCTATCATTACAGTTTTAAGTTCCATCATACTTATTCAAGGACTATAAAGCAATGGATTAAAAAGATGCATGAGTAGAACAAATGACAGGATAGATCAGTCCTACAGACACCATACTTTCAGGCCTGCCACTAATAGATCCAACAAGTGTATTCAATTCAACTGTACACTTACAGACCTAACAAGAGCCTGAGAACTCATGACCACTGTTGCCGGTGTAGATTCAGAAAAGGTGCTTCTACTGCCTCCATCCATATATATTTCATAAGCCCTTCTTTCGTATTAATGAGACCTTAAATATTACCTATAAGGCCCATAAACTCCTTGCTATATGCCCTGTGTGGCCAGGTGCTTATGGACCCAAAGACTTGTCAAGGAATCAGCTGGATAGAAAAGGAATATAACATGTGTTTGATTGGCATGATGAATTATATTATTAAAACAACCCAGGGTATGGATGATGGCAGGCCCAAAGGAGAATTAAAATCACCCAAATCTTCCCTATAGCTGAGAAGGGCCACAAAGGACCTAACTGATTATAAGGTTAGAAATTACATTTTCAAGTTCCCATCTGGAGGCATGTTTGTTTCTTGCTGTGTAAGTTTGCTCCTGAGTTCTTCAATGGCCTGTTTTGAAAGGGTGCAACTGAAACAAATGTCTCTGTCTTAAAGACTTGAAAAAAAAATCATTGAAAACAATGTAGGGATATAAATGTCTGTGCCCACAGCCAAGATAAAAAATGCAAAGTCTGGGCCACCTTGCCTTTAATTTTCTAACTGCTGTTTTGTAAGGCTGTGTCATGCTTCTCAGTTCAAACACGCTTTGGCTCTTTATTATTCATGGACCTTTTTCTCAGTCAGTGGTGTTGAATAATAAAACAGCCCAGGATCAAATGGGCCAATTCTCCACGCCTGACACCAACTGCTACTGTTCGCTGGGCTCTGCCAAGCGTTGCCTCTGATAATGAGTGGGATTTGGTTAAACAGTAAATTAATGAATAATGAAATATCCAGGTTGATCAGTTAGAGAGCACGCTTGCTTTGCCCTGGGCTAAACGCTTGGGGCAGAAATTACTCTCAAACGGCACTTGCCTGGCTGCTGGTCTGGATAACTATTTTACAGCCTACTGCTTGACAGAATGCTGGGGTGGGGGGAGTCAGTGAGGGAGAGGAAAGGAAGGACAGAGTTATTAACAGCAAAAAAAAAAAAAAAAAAAAAAAAAAACGGAACAGAAGAATAACCTAGTTATCACCTTGTAGGTTTCTAAACTGCATGTGTAAGAACAAAGTCACAAATACGAATGACCTGGAGAAGTTAGAGTTCCAAAATTCCCAACACATGTTTAACATCAAGGAGAAATGATGAGTGATAACAGTCTTCTATGTGTGCACATATGTGATTAAATGTAGAATGATTCAACCGCAAACTCATGTTTCTGTGTTGACATTAGAGTGATGACATGCAGGGAAGCTATCCAGTATCCAGTTGACAGGAAAACTCTTCCCTCATTTTAAGGTTTCACACTGTGGTTACTAGACACATACCCTTCTACAAATTTTAAAACATTAAAAATAGGATGGCTTTTCCAAATGACCTCCATTAGGAAAAAAGTTTCACTGCAATTGTGATTCCAGGAGATACATACAGAGGGATAGAGATATGGAGAGATATTTTGTCACTTTTCAACCTTAACTTCACCCAAAAGTTTTAAGTTGTTATGGAGTTTTCTGCATGCATATGTAATAGGTTTGCTCGTTCAAGATCGCAGGTATATCCTTTCCAAGAGACAAGCTTTGGATCATCAAAAACCCACAACAGAGTGCCATAAGGACAACATGTATTGAGAAAATGTGTTATTTCACTGTTGACATTTGTTTTGGAGATAAATTTCTCTAATTGGTTATCTCTGCAATATCTTATTCTTTCAGATCTTTGACCCTTTCGAATGGGCTTGAGATTAGTGGACTTTGCAGTTTTACGCACTAAAGGTTGAAACACTTTTCAAAAAATTGACAAACGTAGTGAGTATTAGTGTTTTGTCAAGGTTTGGGTGTGGTTTGACTTTAGTTTGTTTTTAGGTCAATGAAAGAGGGAAGCGCCTTCACAAAACTGATGAGAGAGTGAGAACGTATTCCGGAACCTAATTTAATAGTCCTCACACCTGAAAGTAAACCCCAAACAAGGTTGAAGAGAGGCAGACTGTCTTCTGTTCCTGGTGTATAGGTGACATATGATAGGATCGTTTTTTAAATGCCCACAGACTAATAAAGATGGGGAAGAAACATATGAATTACCTATATCTTGAGAGTACATAATTAGTACACTCCATTCCTCAGGGCCTGAGAAGCAGCAAGGCTTAGTGGATGTTATTCCACTAGTTTCATCCTGAAAAGCAGTGTCATAGACAAAGATTTAACCTCTGCACACTGGCACCCAACTCCCCCTCCCCAAGAAAAAATAAAATGCTCTAATTGTCTTTATTACTTTCAGACATTGGCTCCAAACACAGATGTTCACTCCTGAGAATTAAAGGAAGGGTAAAAGGTCGCAGGGACCGAGATCATCTTGATCCTTCTTTAGATTATTTGGCCCCATTGTCTTGAATGGTCTTCATCTTTTAAGAAGAAAAGAATATTTCGATTGAACATAAAAGTGAACACATGATTCGGGGGCTCATTTCACTGGGAGGGCTCATGCCTGTGGCCCCCCTCTTCTGCCTCCAAACATAACAAAAGGAAAAGCATGTGAAACAACCTATTTTTTAAAAGCCTTGCTTTTGCCTCAATCTTGATAGTTCCCCATCTTTAGGAATCCCTGGCCAAAAGAATTCTATACTGAAAGCAAGAAAAGCAAGAGTCTTTAAACCTAAGCAATGAGAAAAACAGCAACAACAAAAATCCCTTCTGCTTAACACATGGGTCTCTCATGGCAAAGAAAATTCACATCAGCAAACACTACTTTGTTGTGGTTGAGTTTTATTTAGTCCTGATATTGGGGAGTTCCCATATTGCAATATTGTGTGTATGAGTGTGGTAAGTAGCCCTAACTACAGTCCCCCAAAAGGGCCTTTCACCTAGTCACTTGGCAAATCAGGTATCAGAGAGGATAACATTTGCCAAAAATTCTTCCCAAGATTGATGCTTTAATCTCAAAAGTTAGTACTGGCATTTTTTTGTATGTTTTTTATTTGTTTGGCGAGGACTAGCTAATGGAGCACTGAGCCTTGATTTGGTTTTATACTTGTTTTCGTTGCATTGCCTAGCACTTTCTCAGTCATTTTGTACAACACCTACCTGACCCTTTTCAAACTTAGAACAAGCAGCTGACTACAAGTAAAATCCAACGCTGTGTAGAAACTAAAGATCGGATTTCCTAAATCCGAGAAACTCGAGTTTCAAGTCGCACTCTCTTTGCCCAAGTAACCACCACCAGCCTTCCGCGCAATCAGGTGCTTCCGAGCTGCAGGGCATCTGATTGAGAGTCCTGACGCTGAATTTCCAGTGTTCAGGGCCTTATGGTTCACATGGCAAGTGCTAGGGCTCAGTGACTGGACTCGATCCTCCACCCTATTCTAGGCAGTAGTTCTGTCTGGTTTGGGGAGTTTCCACACTAGAGAAGACTTGCATGACTTGCATGTTCAGTCCCAGTCTCAGAGAAGCTTCCCTTTCCACGTCTCTGTAGCCCAGTAGTCATGTGCCAGCTTTTCTCCAGTCATTTGATAAATGTCTGCACAGCTCGGAACATGCGGCTATTACAGGGAACAAACTGTGACACTCCTGCCCACCCCAAATTCTACGCCTATACGCCGTGGTCATGCCCTCCTCCCAGTTAGGCAAATGGTTGGGTAAGCAAGCGTTGGCTAATGACATCTGACAGCCACATCCTTGAAACGTTTGCTAATATCTCTGCGAACAGGCACGTTCGGGACGTTAACTGGTCGAGTTACAGATGACTGCCAGAGTTGCCCTCCGTGCAGCCTGGGCAAGTCACGCTTTGTTAACTCCATTGGCCATTATGCTGATTTAAAAAAATTTTAAGAGCATTTTTATGCAGAGGACTCTCTCGACAGCAGGTGTGACCCCTATTTGGGCCCTGGACGCCTCTCGCCTGAGTCAGCTACAGAAGGCTGCAGCCCTTCGGAGAGAGGAGGAAAAGCGAAGAGCAGGGTGAGCAGGAACTAATAGGTTTACGAGCAAGTGGGCGAAAAATCACTACCTGACCTTGTTAGCTTGTGACCAGCGTGGAACGTGTTGAACTTGTGTGACAAAACTGCTTCCTCAATCTGGGCACACGCAGCTCACATAAATAAATAAATAAATAAATAAACAAACAAACAAATAAATAAATAAATAAAGGCTTCCCACGCTGCAGCCCCTTCATACCCCAGTGCCCTGATCCCGAGGGCGTGCCACAAACTCTAGCAGGCGAGCTGCGAGCCCTGGCCAGTCCCGGCGGCTGGGGTTACGCCCGAAGGCGCCACGGCGCGTGCGCCTGCGTGGGCATCTGCGCGTGCGCGCTTGTTGACACCCTGCTTGGCAACCCGGAGAGCGTGCCTAGACGCGGGCCCCGGGCGCCGTGTGCGTCGGCTCGACGCAGGCTGGCGCGGCGCACGCGCGATTCGTTGGCCCGCGGTCCCTGTGCCCAGAGCGTGTGTTGTTACCCAGTCTCCCAACTGGAGTCGGCGATTGAGCTCTGGAAACCTGAAGGAAAGGCAGTGGGAATGCGCCAACATGTGACCCAGGGGAGGGGCATGGCGAGACCCAAGCCTGAAAAGTAGACCCGGGGAGATGTTTGACCGCATCCTGAGGAAGCCCATGGGGTTATTTATGAGGCCTGATTTAAAGTAGTGGCTGCCAGGAAAGTGAAAAAGAGCTCACCTCAAGCTATGAGAGGAGCTACAGTCGCAAGAATGCTGTTTATGACTATATAAATCACCGTGGAGCGTGTGATGGGAAATATGGAGACTGCGAGTTTAGGATAGAAACAAGGAAACAAAGTCAAGAAGGAAAAATGAGTTTTCGCCCTCTCTTTTCTAGCCACTCCCTCCGACCGCGCGCAGTTGCTCCCTCCCCTAGGAGGCCGCGATCCCCGACGGGGAGGAACGGGAGGAGAGCGCACTCCCCCGTCGTGGGTAGGGTCTGCCCGAGTCTTCCCCAAGTTTACACGAGGATCGTTAGAGAGCCGGGGAATACATGTAAATAAACAACTTGGAAGATTTATGGGAAGGAGTTCAATTTTATAGGACTGTATTTATAGAGCAAGCGCTGGCTCACTTATAAATAGATTAATGGGAAGCTAAAATTAATGGACTTGCGAGCTGCACATTTAATTTCTGAGGCTTCAACATGACAGACAACCGCCCTCGAAGTCCAAGCGTGGAAAGCAGCTTGCCTCGGGAAGCCGTGAGCGCCCTCAAGAAAGGGACACTTCCCACCGGGCCAACAACTCTCAGTTGGCCCCTAACTTCGGCGCCCGGGGTCCCTGGGGAGGGACCCTACGGAACTGTTATTTGCAAATGAAGAAAAGGAATGTGTCTTCATAAAAAAAAATCGGGTCTTCCTTTCAGCACTATTTTTAATCAAGCCCTTAACCCGCTAACACTGGCCGGCGGGTACGCACCCGTTCTGGGTCACCGTAAGCCGCCTACCGGATCTTGCGGACTCTTGGCAGTCAGGGACCGCAGCAGCCCTCTTCCAGAGTCACCCAGGGTCCCCGCGCTGGGCCGGTCAACGACCTAGAGGTTCTAGCTACTGCTCTTTCCTTACTCCCTCTACAGCCTCCTAACACCATAACAAAGGAGCCGGGGGGCTGTGACACGCAGCCCAGGGCTGTCCAGCTTCTAACCCCTTTACTTTCTTTATTTGGTTCATCTTGCCTGTTCTTTACTCCAGTTATTTTCAGGCTCCTCAAAATCTTGGGTTTTACTTGCTAAAGGTGATTGTTTCAGACCCTCTCTTTACCAAGTGGTGGTGGTGGGTAGGAGTAGCCTGGAGCTTACCTGCGGGATAATAGATTGCAGGTCGGTTTATCAAGGGCTCGAGCTAACCTTGGGCGGGAAAAATTGCCATAGGATATGGAAATTACACACCACCTGCTTTATATAATCCCAGTGGTAATCAACCCCCATCCTCTGTAAAGCCAATGAAAAGGACACTCAGTGTAACAATTCAACCAGAGACTAAGACATATCTATTTTTTTCTAGATAAATGTATGTCCCTATAAGCACACATCCTTTGGTTTTCTCTGCTTCCTTGTTTCCTTTTATTCCCCCCTTTTTTTTTCTTTTCTTTCATTCCACTATTTATAGTTCTAGCCATGATCTCCCCGCTTTTAATTAATAGGACACAAAGGGGGAAATGTCACATAAAGCAGATTCCATTGTTCTTTCTGCCTTTCCCTATAGGGAAGTCCAACTGAAAAAGATTCACGTTTAAAAACAGAAAATTGGTATGGGAGGAATATTAACTGAAAACAAACTGTATGCTAAGCACTCATATATAAATCTGGGATCATCACGATTTAACGTTTCCAGTTCTCCTTGAACTCATATACAGGTTGCTGTTTCTGCTTTTTATAATAAACTATAGGCAATATTGATGAAGTAAAGGATGTTAGGAGGTCCATATTTGTTTTTACAGATAAAGATCTTGAGGCGCAAAAAGGAACAGTGACTCATCCAAACTGTATAACATCGTGAATGATTTTGCTTTCCTGGCCTCAAGGAAGACACCTAAGCCTTGGAATAAAATACAGATTGAGATGATGTTTGATCACTGCAGCCCATTAGGGCCGGGCTGAAGCCTACTAACCCAGGTGTGAAAAGCTCTGGCTTCTCTAGGGAGCCTCTGAGCCTAAGGTAGGAGCCCCCCAACTTCCTAAGACATGTACACTTTTTTTACTTTTCTCAGTTAAGGGAGCTTTTTCCTCCTTTGTTTAGGGAGGGTCTTGCACTGCTAATGAGGTCAGGGTCAGGTTCAATCTTGAAATGGGGGTTAACTCCTTCATATCCCAAGCTGAGGGGTGCAGGAGCCCACACCCAGCCGTGAAGACTTCTCCTGCACCGTGCACCATCTCCTTAGAACACGATGCCAGAATGCCAACCCATGAACAGTGGGAAGGGAGCATCATCTTTGACAGCGACCCAGAGTCCTCTAGTTACCTGGGAAGTAAATTTGACTCCTCGATTTGTAAAGGGCAAAATAAACCAAAAGATTCAGTTAACATTAGCTTTTATTGCAAATCTGGTTAGAAATAGGAAAGAAGAATGTAAATTTGGAATTTAAAAAATAAAAAACAGTTCCTAGTGAAAAAACGGTGTTCATTTTTCTGAGAAGCAAAATTTATTGTATTTCTGTTGTAATGAAAACGCTGTGGGTGCTTCAATGAGAGGAGACAAAAAGAAAAAAGCTTCTTGTTATACTTTTCCTCTGTCTGTAGAATTAAAAACATTGTCCACATTTAAGAAACTGAAGATGAAAACACAACAAAAACACAACAATCTTTTTATTTATGTAAATCAGATTAACACTGGACAATAAACCAATTTCTACCCATTACCATAACAGCTTGTTTATAAAGAACAGAAAAATTCAGATAGGATTCTACCTAGGGTCAAGCGGTTTTTTAACCACCCATTCACAGAGGTATAGATTCACAGATAAATAATCCCAAACTACTTGCTCGCCATATTTACACATTCCCATTAAATTAAGCATAAATAAATATATACAAACTTAACATGAATACCCTCTAGAGCTCTTCTCGTGAAGAGTCAATAGATTGATATTTCTTGATTGTGTGGCAAAAACAATGTTAGAGAATTAGAGACCAACTCAAAAGAGGAGTCGATTTTGGCATTTAAAGAAGGATAGTGTTCATTCCGTTAAAAAAAAAAAAAAAAAAAAAAAATCGATACTTTTTTTTTTTAAGCCAGTAATTTCACATACATTGTCAAAGGTGGGGAAACGCTGTTTGGGCTCTTGAGGCAACATCAGATGGTTTAAGGTTATTTCCTTTCCACATAATGTATTACAAGTACAGGATATCAGATGTGATGACAAATTCTTTATAAACACTCTTAACTAGTAACGCATTGTAGCAGAGGAACAGTGTGTAGATAAGGTCGGGGTTTCGAGTTTTCCATTCGACCAAAGTTTTCATAGGATATGAAATAATTGCTTGAGAGAAAGTGGCTTCCTTGGCCAAAGAAAACAAAGCAGCCAGGTCTTTGAAAGCCTTTTCGGTTCTTTAAGTGGGGGTGGAGGAAGCTATGGGTGTGGAGGCCAGAAAGAAGGAAAGAAAATGCAAGGTAATTGGGGGTGTAGGAGTGAAGGTGGTGGAGAAAGGGGGGAGAAAGTTACCTTCTCACTCTGGGGGAGAAGTTAAAGATCTTTTTAGATGACGGAATCCTCACCCAAACAGGACATTTCTTGCTCCCCAGAGACCCACAATACGTGCAGGAGGCGGCAGGGTTGGGCAGAGAATGGTCTGGAGATATTTGGAACCTTAAAAAGAACTTGCGAAGTGGAAAGTGTGAAGGCAGCACTGCCACATCCTGACTCCTCCTGTCTTTCGCTATTTTGTTTTGGGACCAAGCGTTTAGGAGTGGGCACTCGACAGGGACCAAATGTCTGAAGAGTGAAGGGGTCAGAGGGAGAGCTGCAACTCACCTGTTTGGTTTGAAAACAAAGTTCAAAGGGGCTTGCCTTAAACGTTTCCCTTGACTTAAAAGGCAAACTCTTGCGTTAATCCTACTGTTTATTGATTTATAGGCCCAAGGAAACCAAATCTTTTAATAACTCAATTATCAGATAAACGTAGCGGGCCTGGCTAAGGAAAGCGAGGGGACGGGGGTCCTACATGAAAGGAGAAGTGAGGGAGGGAGAAGGGGTAGTGGGCTCACTCCACAAAATGGGGTCGGGGGCGCAAAAGGTTCTATCTCGCTGGAGCAAGGAGGAACATACAAATGAGGGCGCCTGGCAATGAAGGTAGCCTGCCTTGCCAAGTAAAACAATTCCCATCCCATCTCCCCGCTTTAGGATTGTGACGGTGGGGTGTTTCCGTACTGGCTGAGGTGGAGGAGGGGAAGCTTCGGATTCCTTGGATATTTCTAGGCCACTCTCCCTCCAGGAGCAGGCGCCCGGGGAGGCCGCTGGCAGCGCTGGGAGCCCTCCCCACCTGCAGCCCACCGGGCGCCACCCCATTACCTACTGGTGAATGGGGCTTTCTCGGTCGCCTTAGCCCTTAGGGTGAGACCGAGAGCGGGAAGGGCCCGCGCAGTCGGCAGCCCCTCCAGCGGCTGATTCTATGTCCTCAACACGACTGGGCGCCTGTGGCCCACAGGCTCTCAGGACCTGCACAGTAAGAGCAAGGCGCGTCCATCGCGTCTCTCGCACGTCACACGCGTGGGGCGCGTTGCCCTGCAAGGAAAGGAGACGATCGTTTTCAGTGTGGT